TCCCTGGAGAAGGACATCATGCTTGGTAGAGGGTCAATGAAAAAGAGGAAGACCCTTGTCATGGATTGAATTGTGCCCCCCTCCAAAATGTGTGTCAACTTGACTGGACCATGATTCCCAGTATTGTGGATTGTCCACCATTTTGTCATCTGATGTGATTTTCCTGTGTTTTAAATCCTACCTCTATGATGTTAATAAAATGGGATTAGCGGCAGTTATGTTAATGAGGTAGGACTCAATCTAAAAGATTAGATTGTGTCTTAAATCAGTTTCTTTTGAGATATAAAAGAGAGGAGCAAACAGAGAGACAGGGGGACCTCATATCACCAAGAAAGCAGCGCCAGGAGCAGAGCACTTCCTTTAGACCTGGAATTCCTGCACTGAGAAGCTACTAGACCACGGGAAGATTGATAACAAGGAACTTTCTCCAGAGAAAGCCTTCCCCTGGAGCTGGCTTCCTGAATTCAGACTTCTAGCCCCCTAGACTGTGAGGGAATAAACTTCTGTCTGTTAAAGCCAGCCACTTGTGGTATTTCTGTTATAGCAGCCCTAGATAACTAAAACAACCTTCAATGAGACGGACTGACAGAGTGGCTGCAATAATGGACTCAAACATAGCAACGATAGTGAGGATGGCACAGGACCAGGCAATGTTTCTTTCTGTTGTACATGGGGTTGCTATGGGTTGAAATCAACTAGAAGGCACCTAACGACAACAACAACCTTGGGCAAGTCACTTAACCTCTCCATACCTCTGTTTCCCCATCTGCAAAATGGGGATAATAATCAGGTTGTTATGAGGCTTAAATGACTTATTATTCGTAAAACATTTATAACAGAGCCTCGCACATAATAGATGCTTGTATTTGCTAAATAAAAGAGCTGACCTTTGACTACTTTTCAAATCTCATCCCCCACTGACACTACTCTCTCCCACCAACTCATATCCAACCCTCCTTCTAGACTGAGCTCCTAACTATTCCCACAGATGCCAGAAATATTCGTATCTCAGCACTTTTACACATGCCATTACCTGCATAGAAGACCTTTCCCACCCTGTTCGCCATTAAACCCTTATTCACTCTTCAGGATTCACTTCAAACTTCACTTCTAGAAGCCTTTCTGTACTCTCAGAGACAGGTAGTCCCTCCATCCTCTAGGCCTCTGTTGCACCTCATTCTCATGCATGTCTGAGCTCCCCATTGTACCAAGACTCCTTGAGAGCAGGGATCTATCTTATGTACCTCAGTATTCCTACACCTAGCACATTCCCTGGCACACAGTTGGCATAAAAAATGTTTGTTGAATCAATAAATGAACAAATGAAATATACTAACTACCTTCACCTTATCCACTTCCATAACAGAGTAGAATCTCATATCAGATCCCATGACAAATGAAAATTGGCTACAGTTGACTGGGACATAAACCAATCCAGTCCTGTACTTGGAAGATTGTAGTTTTTCCATCAGCCTTGAGAATAAAATTCACTTCTCATTACTAGAGAGTCTACAGACTTCTAACTTATACATTATCATATTAAAGCCTCAAAAGCTCCCCAGGGACATTCTGAAGACCCAGTCTTTACGGAGTAGTCCTGTTGCCCTACTCTTAGCCAGACACTTGACTCTGGTATCAGATTGAGTCCTCACTACCAGCTGTTCTACAGAGGAGGACAATGAAGCTTGAAGAGGAACACAGAAGTGTTATGAAACAAGGTCATCTCTCAAGTGGCTGATAAGAGGATCTGGGTTCTAGTCCTGGCTCTGTCCCCCAGTGGGCTGTGTAACCACCACAGGGCCCTGCCACTATCTGAAGAAACCCTTGTAAAATCCAGAGATTGGATCAATGGTCACTAAAGTTTCTCCCAACTGGGGCAATTTCTGAATCTGAGGTGGGGGAGTGCAGGGGAATTGACAAAGTGAACTCACATGGGAAGTGAAGCAACACCATTGAAAACAGGCCATGCAGGCTGTGAATCACATTTGCCAGTGTTCTTTAATCCTCACCTCAACACTTCGAAAGATGAAGAAATGCAGGCCCCAAGAGGTTTAGGGGCTCATTCAATTCATACAGGCCTCAATTTATAGAGAGGCCAATGATTGGCCAGGGTCACTCAGGACAGTCTCAATCTCCCACTTCCTGGGTCAGTGCTTTCTCCCCTACATCTAACCCTTCCCACTGCAGCCTGGACCCCTCCAGCCTGGGGATCCAGGCTGGGCTTGGAACCAATCCAGGGCACATAAGATATCACTGTCACCAGTAGGGAGCCACTAAGCCAGCTGAGAACAACTGTCCTTCTGCTGGCGAAAGGTAAACCCTCTTCCAGAGTGGGTGTCTGGTGAGTAGAACCTTCAGGGGCATTGTGGCTGTCACTCAGTTCCCTCTTTCTCTGTCATCTCTGGTCTTAATATCCGCCCCACCAGACAAGCAGATGGGAAGGCCCTCAACACACCTGTATACACATGCACATTCGCACACATATACACATGCAGATGTATACCAACACACAAGCACACACCTACACACACATGCTCATACAAGAGTCTCTGGCTAACCCAGGCTGTCAGCACTACTCCTCCACCTTCACTATTAAAACCACTGTGGAGGTGATGTCATTCCAGGAGCCCAGAAGAGCCCAGGAACCTCCCAATAGAAAACCCACTTGCTTGATAAATGCCTCCAGAGCAGAAGAACAGGCTGAAGAGAGAAGGGAAAGGAAGCTAAGGCTGGGTTAGCTGAGCGCCTATGTGTGAGTGAGTATATGCGTGCTTGCACACAGGTACGCGTGTGAACACGTGTATGTGTGTGTACACATGTGCATGTGTAAGGCCCAGGCACCAGGGAATAGGGGAGAAAAAGAGGAGCCTTCAGACAGACAACGGTGGAAAGAAACAGGGAGAGGACGAAGACACACCCCGTCCGGTACCTCTTTCCTTCCTTCTTCCCTCCCCTCTCTGTCCCGGGATTTCTCTTGGGCCTGGGCTTCGCAGACGCGCGCTCTGGAGCGCGAGGATGGACGACTCTCCGGAACTATGGCGCCCTCTTCCGCTGCCCCCTTTAAAGAAGTAAAGGAGCAGGTGCCCCAAGAGTCACCCTTCTGAGTGCTGGTCTCCGAATGAGCGGGGTCTCCATCTCTTTCCTACTCTGTGTACCTATCTCTTATGGTCGATTTCTACACCTTTGCTATCCCCCCACCTCCATCCCCGCAGCCAGATGTTGAGGCGTCTGCCGCTTTAACGCAGCAGCCCCCAGCCGGGTTATTGTCTCGCCTCGCAGCCAATCAGCGGCGCCGTTGGGGGCGGGGGATCCGACCCTCCGATTGGCCGCCGCGCGCCCCGCCCCGCCCGGGATCCCGGGAGCTGTCCCGACGCCTCGGTGCTGATCCCGCCGCCGCCCACTGGCCGCGAGCTGCTGAGAGGGCACTATGAGCGGGGGCGTCTACGGCGGAGGTGAGCGAGCCTCGGGCTTGGGGCTTTCCAGCCCCGCGCGGCCTCGCCCACAGCCCTGAGGCCCGAACCCAAGCTCCAGACACCCCGGGGCCTGTCAACTCGACGCTCGAGCGGGCCCAGCCCTGGGCTTGGGTCCCACGCCACCCCTGCCTTTAGTCCTCCCCGGACGCCTCACGCTCTCCGGGCCAAACTCTCTACCATTCAACCCACCTCTTCAGGGACCCCAGTCCCTTCCTCCCCCGCCAAGGACAGTGGCCTGAAGAAGGCCACTCAGCAAGACGGGATCCTGGCTGGCTTGACTCCCATTCTCAGCACCCTGGATTCCAGGCTGAGCTCCCACCTGCCCCTGCCAGGGACGAAGGTGGCGAGACTGTGGCTCTGCCCTGACCTCCTCTCGGAGGTGTCCAGGCAAGAGAGTTTGGGGAGGCCCCCTCACAAGCCTGTCTCCTCGCACAGATGAGGTGGGGGCGCTGGTCTTTGACATTGGCTCCTTCTCAGTCCGCGCTGGGTACGCTGGGGAGGACTGCCCCAAGGTGAGTCTTCCAGCCCCCTCCCCAAATCCTAGGGACTCCGGACTCCCTTCCAGGCTTTCCGGTGACCTAAGGCTCTCACAGACTCGCTGAGAAGCTCTGCAGAGCGGAAATGTGGGCTTAAACCAGTGGCGGGCTGAGGGCCTTGCTGTGGGGCAGGACCAGGGCAAGAGGGTGATCCTTCTCCCTGCCCATCCTCCACCCTCAGGCTGACTTCCCCACCACGGTGGGGCTGCTGGCCGCGGAGGAGGGGGGCGGGCTGGAGCTGGAGGGGGAAAAAGAGAAGAAAGGGAAGATATTCCACATAGACACCAACGCCCTGCACGTGCCTCGGGATGGAGCGGAGGTCATGTCACCCCTCAAGAACGGCATGAGTAAGGGGCCCCGCCCACTGCCTCCTTACACAGACCCGGAGCTCACTTCCCACGGCCCAGGACACAGCACCCACACCCACGGAGTACTCCTTACAGCTGCCCAAGTCCCAGTGACCCCCTCACTGCTTCCTACAGCTGCCTTGTTCCCAACCCAGGGGCTGCCAGATTCCTGGGAGAGGGGCTTTTCTGCTGGAACTGGTCCCACTTCCCTTCCCCTGGACTTGGCTTCCTTCCCTCCTCTTTCCTTCCGGTCCTCTGACCGCTGCTTGTCCTCCCCCATCTCTCCACGCTGGTCTTCTGGCCCCAGTCGAGGACTGGGAGTGCTTCCGCGCCATCCTGGATCACACCTACAGCAAACACGTCAAGTCTGAGCCAAATCTGCACCCAGTGCTCATGTCTGAGGCGCCGGTAAGTGCCTCCTCCATCTCCTAGTCCGGCCCTGAGACCCAGGCACTTCCTTGCCACCATTCACCTCTCATCTCAAGATGCCCCCCTCAATCAAGCCACCTCCTCCCTTTTCAGACTTCCCTTCCAACCTCTTAGATCTTCAGCCATTTTTTCCCTCACTGCCTTAGTCTCATTTCTCCTTTGAATCCCCTGCTCTATCCATTCACCCTTCCCCCAGCCAGCCTTATCTGCTGCCCTTCTCCATCAAAAGTCCTTTTCTGAACTTTTAACTTATATTTTTTGTCAACATTATATATGCACATAAAGAGTCAATTTGCTTCATAAAGTATGTTAAGAAAAAAACTGTAGTTCTACCCCCTCCTTCCATTTCCCCTTTTCCAGAGGCCACAGCTTTTATCTCATTTAGCTAAGTCTTTTGGTATTTCCTTCCATATCTCTAAATATCATGCTTAAATTGCTGCTTGTGGATTTTTTTTTTAAGTTTAAGACATTATCTATGAACTTCCCACTATAGAAAATTAGCATTTAGTTCCCTTTCCTCCCCCAACCCACACCACACACATTTCTCATTCCCCACCTTTATGTATACAAAAAAAAAAAAA